ATTATTTTTAAGATTATAAGTTATAGGTATTTAGTATAAATAATTTGCCAATGGTATTAAAGAAATTATAGATTGTAGACTATTGACTCATATGTGTTCAAAGTTGACATTTCAAATGCTAATACGTGTTTTAGTTCTAATACGTGTTAAAGTAAAATATAAATTCACTAAAATAATATATTATACTAATATATATTTAAAGTAATATATATTCACTAAAATAAAATTTGTTTTATATTATACTAAAATAATAAATTCACTAAAATAATATTTTTCTATAATTTATTTTTCTAATAAAATCTGTTTTATAATAAAATATGTTTTTCTATATTCACTAAAATATTTTTTATTTTACTAAAATAATAAAGTAATATGTATTCACTAATATTTTTTATAATAAAATCTGTTTTATATTATACCAAATATTTTTCTGTTTTTCTGTTTTTCTAAAATAAATATTTTTCTAAAATTCAGTTTTTCTAAAATAAATATTTTTCTATAATTTAATACCATTGGCAAATTATATTCACTAAATACCTATAACTTATAATCTTGAAGAAAAAATTTAAAATCTGTTTTATAATAAAATCTATTTTTCTATATTCACTAAAATATTTTTTATATTCACTAAAATAAAATATGTTTTATATTATACTAAAATAATAAATTCACTAAAATAATATTTTTCTATAATTTATTTTTCTAATAAAATCTGTTTTATAATAAAATCTGTTTTTCTATATTCACTAAAATATTTTTTATTTTACTAAAATAATAAAGTAATATATATTCACTAATATTTTTTATAATAAAATCTGTTTTATATTATACCAAATATTTTTTTGTAAAAGCTATTTACTAAAATTTTATATCTCAAATTTAATAAAATCTGTTTTATATTATACCAAATTTTTTATAAAAAAATTTTATATAAAAATCTAAAAAAGTCTAACTTCAAAATCAACAACAACACAATACAATATCTCAAATTTAAAATCTCAAATTTACTAAAGTCTCAAAATTTCCAACAACAACAACATTACTTCAAAGCTACTAAAATCACAAATTTTCTAACCTAAATCTCAATGCTAGCTTTCAACAATAACAACATAATACACAATAAATATAAAAAATTAAAATGCATAAATACCTCTTTCAAAGCTTCTAAATAAAACTTCTTATAAATCAATTAATATTCTTAGATCTAAAAAAAAAAATCAGTTAATAATAAGAAAAATATAAAATAAACTATAAAGGAAAATAGTTACAAGCATTCACCTTAAATTTTGAAGAAAAAATTAACTGAAGTATGAAGTAAGGAGCTGGAGTGGAGTTGTAGCAAGGAGGTGAACGAAGGGGAAGAAGAAAGAAAACTTCTGGAAATTATCTGATACGTTGTGTGCAAAAGAAATTCTACAAATTTTTATATATAACAAGCCTTCCGACGTGGCCAGCATTTGGGAAATTTGTGACGTGATAAATGCTTCGCAACTTGCGACGTGGCATCTACTTCGCAAGCTTGCGACGTGATATCCAGGTCGGTACAACCCATATATTAAATTGTTAACGTTATGCCATTAATGTCAATTTTGCTTTTCAAATTTTGCGACGTGGGAAGCACTTCGTAACCTTGCGACGTGGAAGCAAGGTTGGAACATTCCCCCTATATTAAATTATTACCGTTGCTCCACTAAATGCCAACTCAGCGGTATTAATGTAAGTGGGTTGCGAAGTGTTATCCATGTGTGGGTATTTTGTGACAGGATAATCACGTGGCAACAGAAATCTATTTTTTGAATTTTAGGTTCCCATGTGAAATACACGTCACAACAGAATTTGTCAAAAATTCAAAATTCCCCCTCTCTTAAAAATCCAAAATTTCGTTCCAGATTTTAGAGGTAAATATTTTATTAATAAAAAATGTTTGTGACGTGATAATCACTTGGCAACGCAATTTGTTTCCCAAGTGTTTACCACGTCACTAATTCACTAGGAAAAAACAATGTTTTCTTGTAGTGCTAACACCTATACAACTTATTTCTAGAATTTTACAACGAATCATATCATCATAATTGTTAACGTATTACAACACTTATTCAGGTGTAGTTGATACAAGTAATTTTTCTTATTTAATTAGCCTTATAGCGTATGAAATAGTTATTTTTCACATGATGGATGTTGTAATAACTTATTTGTATAGTTCACTTGATAGTGAAATTTACACAAACCTATGTAAAAAGTTAATTTATTTTAGACACATTATTTCGGATCTCAAAAAGACTATTATATAAAATTGAGTAAGTTTATCTATCACTTAAAACATTATCTTATGTAATACTTGCTAAGGGATGAATATAAAAATGAATCTATTTGTCCTTATATTTTATGGAAAGGTCTATAAAAGATTTTTCTAAATTTTTGTCTATGTTGATGATATATATTGTTGGAACTTTTGAAGAGCTTCTAAAAGTTATAAATTATTTAACGAAATTGTTTGAGATGACGGATTTGGAAAAGGAAAAGTCCTTACTAAATGAAACATTTGGACAATGAAATTTTTATACACTAAGAAGGTTATATAAAAAAAAAGTGTTAAAATGTTTTTATGTAGACAAATCTCGTATGTTATATAGAAAAAGTGTTAAAATGTTTATATATGAAAAAGTCTCGTATGTTGTCTATCCCAATGATGTTAGATCATTGAATGTGCATAATATTCTTTTAGACTTCAAGAAAATGATGAAAATATAGTTGGTCCTAAAGTACCATATTTTAGCATAATTCAAACACTAATCTATCTTGCTAATTATACGAGTAATAATATATTAAATGTTGTTAATCTATTAGCAAGATATAGCTCTTCACCTATATAAAGATATTGGTGTGGAGTCAAACATATACTTAATTATCTTAGGGGTATAATGGATATGGATATATTTTATTCAAAAGTATCCAAATTAAAATTAATAAGTTATCTAGATGCAAATTATTTGTTAGATTTTCATAAGGGTAGTTTACAAACATGTTATTTATTTAGTTACGGTGGTACAACTATTTCATTAAAATCTGTGAAATAAACCATATTGAGTTTCATGGATCTTTAAGTCAACATCTAGATTTATCTAGATGCAAACTGATATAAACTAAAATTTTCAAAATTCATCTAAGAATATAATGGTAAAATTATTCTAAATGGAGGTGCCAAAATATAGGTAGAGTGCCAAGTTAAATCCTCAAATAATTTACATATTTTTAATTTTATTTTTGGGCTATTAAAGCCCAACTGTACATTAGTTCTGTTCATACACACATATAAACTTGAAAATATTTGTTGTTTACACTGTTTGTTATTAAATATAAATAGAAGTAGTCAAACTTAGGGTTGCTCATTCTTGACATAAATATGAGCCTCGGAAAATTGAGTAAAAAAATTGAGAAAAAAATTATTTTACTTTTATTACACAGAATAAATTTTAATAAAATAAAGTGTAATTCAGAAATAACATTTAGTAAAATGTTCATATTTTATACCAAAAAAAACAAATTCTTAGAATAATTGATTCTAACTTAGAAACTTCTAATCTGGAGAATCGGAAATAGATGCAAATCTGCATCAACTTTTTAATAAACAAACCTATCAATGATTATGCATTCATCTTCTAATCAAAGAGTTGGAAGAAGTTGCTCTCACTCTTGTAAAACCTACCCCATTATGATAGAGAAATTGAAACAGACTTTCAATATAATAGATTGGTTAGACCTAAGAGGTTGGTGATTAAATTGACCCAAATTTTGCAAATTATTAACATGTAGTACACACGTTGATGATATAAATTTAAATACTCAAAAAAAGTAAACATGATGAAGAGGTAGATTGTCCTTTTATGATTTTATCAAAATAGTAACATGTCTTAAAATAGAGGAGATGTATATGTCATAAAGAATAGAATATCATATCATATCACCTGATGAAGTTGAAGCAAGTGAAATTCATTTGAGCAATTATTTGAGCTTACCAGCAAGCAAATATCATTTAATTTATTGTTAGTTGCTAAGTTATGGGAGATCATGACATGTTGCCAAATCCTTTAAAAAAGAACCTCAACTCATAATTACATTTATATATTAAGCATTGTTCTTACCTTACAAGGCATGACTAAGTCTTACCAAGAATCATCATCATTTCTTTCCCTCAACTTTTTTTCATTATGGTTTGTTAGGTGTCTCCCATTATAAGTAATTTATATTATAAATGATAACTAACATGTCTTTTTCTTTCATGTACTCCTCACTCCCTAGTTAAGGAGTCAAATCTTAAATCCATGTAATAATCACTTCAAAAACTTTTTCCACCTCACAATAAAACAGCATATCCTTTATGAACAGATACAGAAAGGTTTGGAATTGATGCTTCATTTTATGGTACTTTTCTTGCTCCACAGAGAATATAAGCAAGATGTCTAGAATCTAATACTTTCAAGCATTCATCAAAATACTTCAAATTCTCCTCAAAAATATATTCCTCATATACTATAGTATAGGATATATGCAAAACCAGAGTGATAAAAATGAAACAAAGAAGTGCAAATTTTTAAGTCTTTTACTCAACTCAAAGTTTGGCTACAAATAAACTGCAAAAAGAATTCCCATGAATAAGGATATTATAAAAAGAGAAAAAATAAAACGAATGCCAAGAAAAAGAAAATGACAACTGAGACACCAACTCCTAAAGACCTAAGTAACCTAAAACTACTAGACCTAAGACTCTACCCTTTTTGACTTCCATATCTCTTCTAACCTCATTTCTTCTGTTCTCATTAAAATCTTGTTCTAAATGCTAAAAATGATCTTCATCATCATCTAATGCTCCTATTCCCCCATTCCAACCCTGTACAAAAACCAATGACCAAGGAAATAAAATATCAATAAGAAATAACATAAGACGCGACACTAGAGACGGTGACGAGCGAGAAATCTCCACGACTAGGATCGTTCTCGCTTCAAATGTATTCCAGGGCGATAATGCTGTTGTTAGTGTTTGGAATGAGTTCAGGAGAGGCAGCTGAATGTGATTCAAAACCAGAGCCATCAAAATCCTTGGTTCTCATTTCAAGGACCTTCTTGTGAGAATTGGAGTGCAATGAAGGACAAAAAGTTGGACTAGCAGCAGGACGGTATTCAGGGAAAAGCCGGCCTGACTTGTAGCGGACGCCACAAGCATTGCAGAGTGTTTTCGGCCCCAGTGGACCTGCTCTCCATTGTGGTGTCTTGGTTATTTCACAATGCATGCATTTCCGTACAGGTAGCGAACCATTCTGGTCACCGCTGTCAGCCAGAGCAGCAGGAAGTGGCACCTTGATCTTCTTTTTCTTCTTAGATTCTCCAGAAGGGAGCTTTGGTTTCTTAGCCACAATTTGAGACTCGGCAAAATTGTCAAAATCTGAAGACCCCGCCTTGGTAGACATAACATTAGCCTGCACATTCTCCCCAACGAAAGAGGAAGTAGGGGAAATGAGCTGCATGGCGGAACGAGGGTTGAACGCTGCAGGACGTGGACGCTTGGTGCGTGCACGTCCACAAGGCACAGGGATGTAAATCTCTGCTGCTGTCATCGTCTTTCCACCAGAGGAGGAACTGCTGCTTTCAAGGACAGAAACAGGACTTGATGTCTGGAATTGGTTATGCACAGAATCCTCCTTAGTGGTCACACATGATGATGGTGGTTGCTCCACTTTCTTCATTGTGAGACTCCCCTCAGAAAATGAGTCCTCCACAAAAGTGGACAGCCATTCCAATGGAAGAATGTCTTCATACTGTAATAACAATAATAACAAAGCATTGATCAAAAACACATCTAATGTAAGGTTTAATTCGTATGAAATACTTTACTATAATCATATTTTTAGTTACAATGTAATTTAATACCATTCACATGTAGACAATTCAAGCAAAGAATAGAGCTTAGTAAAGCATATTAAAAAAGTATATTACTCTTCAAATTGAATGAAGAATAAGAATTTGTGCTTTTGTATAAAATAAAATAAAAATCAAACATGGGATGTTACTGGCTAGATTGAGGGTTCATTATTTATTTCTGTGGGTGCTCACATCACGTGATCAGCACATGCAAAATCACATGATATTCAATAATGATGATCCAAATAATTGAGACAGCGCACCATGAAATTAGAGAGTAGGGTGGAAGTGATATGCCACATGTCACCGACACAATCAAGTGTCATGTTAAAATGACCAGACTGCCCTTTGAAATAAATATTTTCTATTTTGTCATTTAATAATAATGTCTTCAAATTCAAGTAAAAAGATTTTCACTCTTTGGACCAACTTCATAAACTAAAAACACATTATAAAAAAAACTAATTTTATGCATTGTATGCTCTTTAAAAATTAAAAATAGAGCAGATTTGTCATTTAATAATAATGTCTTTGAATTCAAGTAAAGGGATTTTCACTTTTTGGAACAACTTAGAAAAATTAAAAATATATAGTAAAAATTTAAAAAAAAAACTAATTTTTAAGAATTGTATAATTTTTTTATAAAAAACATAAAACAGTGGTATTTAATATTTATATAAATATATTCAATTAAATTACCAAATAAATATTTATCAAAACAAATTAACATTAAAACTAAAAAAACTAATTTTTGCTATTGTTTTGTCAAAAAGATTTTAAACTGTCGGTGAATATCTTATACAAACAAATTTCTACAAATAATTTATTTCAAATGTACCTTTTAATTCTAATAAAAATTGAATTTCTTTGTTAAAAAAAACTTTTCAAATAAGTTTTGACTGTTTTTTTTATGAAATAGAGACAAAAAATACTATTATATCCATTAAATGTTGCGACAGACTGAAAATGTACAATTTGAAACGGACAATCAGGTCCGTACACGGAACCATCATGTCATAATCACATAATCAAACGGCCAGAAAAGAAACTAGATTGAAACCGTTGGATTTCACTGATAATTTTACATAACACTTCACGTAAAAAACGTGAACCTGTCCAAATTCTTTAATTTATATAAGAATAATTAATAATAATAAAAATTAAAATTATTTACATAAATTAAAATTTATACACAGATAAAATATTTGGAAAAGTAATTACTCACCGGAACGGAGAGCTCCACCGAGAGGTCAGGACTGTTGCCGGAAAACACTGAGTCAGAGGCAGGAAACGAGTCAGACTCATTCGGCCAAATACTCGCTAGTGAGTTACAGTTTGCGGCGGAGGTGACGGTGGACAAGGAAGCGGCGTTGGCATCAACGTCGTTGACGGAGAAATCAAGCAGGTCGTCGATGTGGTCAAAGAAGCTACCACAGTCTATCTCGTCCATGAAGTTTGGTCCAACCATTTTCTCTGCAAGTGAATGAATTCAAAACGTAAAGAGAAAAATAAGGGTTTTGTAATTGTAAAATGAAAAACACAAATTGTGGCGGTATTTATAAAATGGAACTTAAAGCGCATGTTAGCATTCCGCGTATATTAATTATGGAAATTTTGAAAATAAAAATGGAAAACAGTCAAATAAAGTAAAACCAGATTTTAAAATTATTTGAAACGCACTGTGTAACAATTTACAGTGTACCCAATAATATATTGACGTGTAATAAATGACGTGGCAGTATCTTATTGGATGTATCTGGGAAAAATACATATATAAATTACTGTATTAATTAGAGTATAAACCTTTTATTAAAACTAAAGTGACATTATGCTGTAATGTGATTGGATGCACACACGTAGAAATTAATCTTTTTTATCACAACTATGAATTTTTTCTTATTTTTACAAATAGAAAAATATTTATTTTTCTTTTGTATGAAATGTATCCGAATTTGAAGATTTTTCAAGATAAGATTGAATTAAATGTTGAAACCAGAGAAAATGAATTCAATTAATTCAGTAAAAGCCCATTGTATTTTATAAACCGCTGGTCCCAATTTCTTTTATTTACCAGCTCGAAATTTATTCCATTTTATCGTTTTTTTCTTTTTTTTACAATAATTAAATTCAAAATGAAGATACCCAAGAAAAAAAAAGTGAAATGCGAAAATTGAGATAATTAGATAAAGTTGAATAAGGTCACTAACCTTGTAGAAATTGAGTAAAATCTAGAGAAGAGTGTATGAGTTCAGAATTGAAGTCCTGCATAATTAAGATAAGAAGAAAATTAAGCAAGGTGGAGAATTATGAAGAAAGAAAAAACTCAAAATTGGGTTTGTGCCGACACTACACTGCACTAGTAGAATTTTTAGAACCGAACCTGAAACTAGAAATTGGTAATTTGAGGTGAAACTGAAATGAAGAGAGAGAAAGGTAGAGAGAGAGAGAGAGAGGTGGGTTTTTTGAAAGGAGAAAGAGTGGAGTTGAGAAGGTTTAAATGGAAAATAAGAGAATGTGATGGATGGGCAATGGTAGGTGAGGCTCCTCCTTCATTGCTAGCTGTCTTTTACTATCCCCACTGTCGTGATGTTGAAGTCTTCTTTCTATCTTTCTTTCTACTAACACTTACTCTCTCTTTCTTTCTCTTTAGTTTACCCACAGGTCCCACCCCAAACCTTTCCTCCATTCACGGATTTTATTTTACCTTTCTTTTCATTCAATTCAAATACAATCAATTTTATAATACTACAAAATAAATTTACTACTACAACCAACAATGTTAACGTAAAACAGAAAAATAAACACGGTCACATGAATTTGGTTACCTTTGTTCTTTGCGCTTTAAGATTGATGGTGTGAAATGTGAGTACTGATTTTGAAAGGGGGAAAAGTGAGAAAGAAGATGAGTGAAGCTTGTATAAATAGAAGAACCGGTGCTAGTTGGAAATGCCAGGCTTTAACCGCCGTTGTTTCAGACACGGTTTGTCTTGGTGTGTGTTTTTTGAAATAAAAACAAAACATAAATTACTGCATGGTTAAATAAAAGTGGTACTCATTCTCCTAGTATCATAATGTTAACGATGTTCAAAAAGTCAAGAGTTTCCTTGAAGCGCGTGATGGACACGGAAAGTGTTTAAGTTTTTGTTTTCGGTTCGGAAATCGATTATTGTTCTCTGTTCTACGCTACCTATTGTAATTTCGAATAACGCTATGCTATTACTCGCTTCATCCAATAATATTTGTATTTAACTAGTTATAGAATTTTTTAAATAATATTTTAAGATTGTTTGAATGAGGTCATTTAAAAACTTAAGTTAAATTTTTTTTTCTTAATTTTTTTTACCAAACACGAATAAGATAAACAAAATTGAAAATGTTTTGCTTTCCTATTAACAAACTTAATACATTGTTCATCATAATCTTCGATTGACACCATGGTTAATTCGATCATAAACAATAAAAAATAACTCATGAGGTTTTTAATTTTCAAATTTTTTTTATGAAATGTTAAACAATATTTATATAGTGTTATTGATCTTAACGGCTGATTAGAATCTGAAGTGGGACAGAGACTTTGTCGGTGATGCTGGGTTACAAGGATGAATAGGGGGTGTACCTGTAAGACACTTCGATGCTAAAGTAAGAATTGGGCGAAGAGAAGGCAAGTATAAAAAGTGTATGTCTTAGGATGATTTGGAATGATTTAGTATACATGACTCTCTCAATTGAGATGGTTTTTATAATGCCCCCCGCGCTTGGCCATTGGTCCCTATTTTCGAAACGAAATATTCGCTCCCAAAGAATAGGTAACTGCCAGAAACTAACCGTTTAGATGGGCAGAGGTGTCCGAAACTAGTCGTTGCCACGGGCAAGGGCGGTGTCGCGGGCATATGCGTCGTGACTGTTTCTGTATGGTGAAACCATGCGTGACGGGCAGGAATGTGAGGAGGGGCAGCTAATCCTAGGGGTCAGCTGGCCAATCTTCCTCGGCAGAGGGGAAGAGGAGAGAAAGTTTCACTTTTCCCTCAGCTGACAAGGCTAAGGCTATTGGGTCGTTTTAGGTGCAGAAGTGGATTGGGTCATTCCTAGCCATTGGGATAGTCCGGAACAGTTATATTTGTAAAAGATTCGACAACAATAAAAGCTTTACAACTCTTAGGATGGTGCGACGACCATATGTTTCCCTTTAAGAGGTATTGTCTCGTCCTAAGTAGTTTCCACTCGCCTAATCATGAGAAACGTGGGAAATGACATTTCTTTGTCAAAGAGAAGCCAGTAGTTGATTCACGCCTCCCTAGGAAATAAGGATTCAATGGTCCATCATTGACTGAGTGAGTAATGATCCTTCCTAAGAAAACCCTAGGCCAAAATTTCTCTATAAGCACTTTTTCTCTAACGAGGGAACGGACAGATCATTCATACCCTAAGCACAATGGTAATATACAGAGATACTCACCTCATGTAAGTTAGCCCTCTAAACCAGCCACTATATAAGGTCTCTCGTCGCCGCCGCGAGAAAGCCTTAATCACCCTAAATTGTTATAAACCTACTAAAGCCTCTAAATATCCCCTAGCCTTTTAGGGATACCAAGCACACGTGTACGTTTTACCAGTACAATGCCACCAATTGTGGGACCCCGATAAAACTAACCTAAATCACACCTCTTTCATTATCATGCCTTCCATCTTCCTTCCGAAGAAGGCCAATAAAACTCTACACTCTAATACAAAAACCATATCCAGGGTTTTGCTAGAGGATGAAGTTCCAGATCCTCCTAAAGGAAATACGCAAGCCATGTGATTGCTTTAAATGTGATATCTACTAGTTTCCTCGGGGGTGAACAAGGGGAAACAGGGGGTTAACGTCGCCTTTTTCCGATAGGGATGCCATCATAGTAAACCCTTATGATAATGACCATATGGTCATCACTATGCAACATGGCAACTCAGGTATCAAATGAGCCTCGAAAGATCCTGAGAGTTCTGCTGACGTCATGTTCTAGAATGCTTTTATGAAGCTTCAACTCAATCCTAATGATGTTAAAGTGTCTAGGGGCTTGTTATTGGGAATTTTTGGGAAAATAGGTACTAGTAATGGTCCACGTGACCCTAGAGACAACCTGTTGCGAGGGAGTAGACGCTGATGCGATTGAAGTCAACTGCCTTATCATGGATGCCCTATCGACTTACAATATCATCATAGGTCGACTTGCCATTAATGCATTAGAGGCGGTTATTTCCACCTCGTACCTGGTCCTTAAGTACCCACTGCCTAAAGGGCGAGTTGGTATGATTATAGGAGACCACCAGATCGCTCAAGAATGCTATCAAAATAGCCTAGCAATAGAGAGGGAAGAGCTCGCCCTTATAGGTGTCCTCTCCTGAAGTTCTAGATGCAAACATTGATTGTTGAAATCCCAGGTTGGGCAAAGACAATGAGAGACTCACGCCCATAGAGGACCTGAAGGAAGTTAGAATACTATCAATTTAAATATATATAAACAAAATTACTACTACATTACAATGTTAACGTAAAACAGAAAAATAAACATGGTCACGTGAATTTGGTTATATTTATTCTTTGCAGTTTAAGAGTATTTATTTTTAAAAGGGAAAAGTAAGAAAGAATAAGAGTGAAGCTTGTATAAATAGAAGAATCGGTGCTAGTTGAAATTGCCAGGCTTTAATCGTCGTTGTTTCATACACAGTTTGTCTTTTTGTTTGTGTCTTTTGTAATAAAAATAAATAAAAATTTATTACACGTGTTGAATAAAACTGGTATTCTTCTAGTACCGTAATAATAATGTTTAAAAGTCAAGAGTTTTCATGAAGCGTGTGATGACACATAAATTGTTTTGGGTTCTGAAATCAATCATTGTTCTCTATTATATGCTACCTATGATGATTTCAAATAACATTATACTATTACTCGCTACATGCAATAATATTTATGTTTACTTAGTTATATAATGGCACATCATGTGACGAAGATAAGCATTTCGCTTATTAAGGAAGAAAAGCACGAGTTAGTCGACTAACTCATTATAAATGATGAATTTTTCGCTTGGGCTCCATTTGATATGATCGGGATAGATACCAAAGTGGTGAGCCACTGCCTTGCCATCGAACCTTCTACCAAACTAGTGGCGTAGAGGAAGCGGGAAATTGGCAAGGAGAAAAGAGCCTCCATTGATGTGGAGGTAGGAAACCTATCCAACACCGAGTTCATTACAGAAACAAAACATGCAACCTTGTTGCCTAACATGGTGTTGGTGAAAAAGTCAACAAATAGATGGCGCATATGCATGAACTTTATTGATTTAAATACAGCTTGTCTTGAAGACCTCGTACCCACTACTAGATATTGATCGTCTTGTCGATGGATCTTTAGGTTACCACATATTGAGTTTCATGGATACCTACTCAGGGTATAACCAGATTCAGATGGATCCCCTTGACGCCCCTAGT